TTATCAAGAGTTCGTGAGGGAGAGTGGGCGGGGAAGGAAGGGAGAAGAAATAGGGGGCTGATATCAGGGGCTCAAGTGGGAAGAGAATGTTTTGAAAATGATGATGGCAGCATACATGTTTGACACAATGGATGAATGTATGGATTGTGATAAGAAATGTAAGAGCCCCCAATAAAAGTATGTCGGGCTTGCTTCAGCGGCACATATACTAAAATTGGAATGATACAGAGAAGATCAGCATGGCCCCTGCACAAGAATGACACGCAAATTCGTGAAGCATTCTATATTTTATTAAAGAAAAAAAAGTATGTAAAAAAATAAAGAAAGAAAATAGAAAGGAAGCTTGGAAATAATCAAGTTACAATGAAATAAGACTAATCTCTGATTTTTTTGGCAAAATCTCAGGAGACACAATTATAAGACAGCTTATATTTTTAAAATTTTAGTTGAGTCAATTAGAAAACTCTTAAGGTGATTTCCACCCCCATGAACATTCCACTTATTAAATTTTCCAATTGATAAGCATTATAATTTGTCTTTCTAAGGAACATAGTAAAATATATTTTATGGATGTGTGTATCATTTTCTGGAGATATTAATAACCAAAAATAATTACAAGAACTTTTGTTTGATAAGAGCAGTACAATGTCATGGTACTTTAGTCAATGTGAGAGATAAGTTTTGTGTCAACTTGGCTGAGCCAGGATTTTAGGACTCTAGTTTGGCAGCTGAGACCTCCTCCATGATGTGACCTAACATAAAGTAATCAACTCCCTAATGGGATCTGCTGTGCGCAGACAAACTGTTGTGGGAAGATTAGGGTGGAATGCAACCCCTTAATCAGGTCACCCAACTCCAAACCAAATTCACTGCCATCCAGTCAACGCTGACTCACAGTGACCCCCTGTGGGTTTCAGAGACTGTAGCTGTTGACAGGAGTAGAAAGCCAAGTCTTTCTCCTGAAGAGCTACTGGTGGTTTTGAACTTCTGACCATACATATTGCAACCCAATGTGTAACCACTATCCAACCAGGACTCTTCCTTGATGTAACTGAAATAAAGTTTCCTCATGGGTTACTTGTTATATAAGTACACTGTGGGAAAGCTATCTTGCTTCTTGCTGGTCTCAATCCTGCATCTGGCTCACTGACTTCTTTCTCTGGATGTCAGCCAAGACCTGCCATATTGCCTACTGACCCTAAGAGCCATCAGCAACCTGCCATTTGACATGCTGACCTTGGATTCATCCTCCTAGGCAACCACCAACCTGCAGCCTTCCCACAGCTACATTAGTCTGCATAGGTCTCCAGCTTAACATCTGACTAACAGCCTTGAATTGGACTGAATTTACCCGTTTCTACAATGATGTAAGCCATTTTCTTGATACAAATTTCTCTCTTTATAAATAAATTTTTTAAAAATTCTAAAAACAAAAATGCCCAGGCAGCAATGAAATGACATATGAAAAGCTGTGAAAGAGAGGGGGGAAAAAACCAAAACCCCCCAAATTACATTTCCAGCAAAACTATCTTTCAAATACAGTAGGGAATTTCCAAGTAAATGTAAATTATAGGAATTTGTACTAACCACACAAACCTTAAGAAATACCAAAGGTGTTTTTTGGCTAGGAAACCAACAATAGCAGACAAGAACCTGAGATTAAGATGCATGAAACCAGCACTTGGAAGTCAATGCAGATGCTGAAAGTCCCAAGTGAAACTAACCTACAGGGCTGAAAATAAGGAACAAAACAGATCATCAACTGGTAAGAGAAGAAGCTACAAGTCAATTACAAGAGTGAACATACTGCCTTAAACTCAGGAAGAAAGTAATAAATTACAGTGCAACCTCACAGAAAATTATTATGTCAACAAAAGTTAAAAACTGTGAGGATTTTTTATTAAATACTAAAGCAACAGCAATGAAGAAAACTACAAGAAAACCGACAAACAAAATTAACTCATCACAGAAAATTATGTGGATAAAGAAACCAGCATCACCATCCACAGAAAAACAACAGCAGTCTGTTATATCCATAAGAAACTGCATATAAATGGATGAAGTACACCAGTCAAAGGATAAAGGATATCAAAACACACGAGAAAACAGGACCCATTTATATGTAGTCTACAAGAGACATACCTGAGACAAAAAAACAAAAGCAGATTGTAAAACCAAAGAATGGGAAAAAATACATCAAGCTAGAGGCAATCAAAAATTAACTGAAGTGGGAATGAATATTCATTTCTGGGGGGTTGGGAAAAAGACCAACACAAGGGGTGAAAAAGGACATTACATAATGACTAAAGGAATCATTGAACATGAAGACATGAACATAATAAATATCTATGCACCCAATAAAGAAATAGACAACTTTACAATAAACGTTGTAGTTTTAGGAAAGATCATATACCACTTTAAAGGACAGGTTAACAAGTTGAATCAAATAGCTGAATGTGAATTTTTAAAGTATAAAATGGCCAATGAAAAATGGGAAATGTATTTTTCCTAAAATACGGCATTAATATACTGTAAAATAAACACACAAACAGAAGACAAACTAGATGACTGTGATTGCCTACGAATTAGACACTTATATGCAACAAAAGATTCCACCCAAAGAGTGAAAAAAGAACCCACAGACTGGGGAAAAATTTCAGCAACGACACATCAAACAAGGAATAGATTTCTAAAATTTATAAAAAAGTCAACATCTCAACAAGAAAAAGACAAATTACCCAATTAAAAATAGGAAGAGGATATGCATAGATACTTCACCAAAGAACACGTTCAGGAGGCCAACAAACAGAACAAAATGCTCATGACCATGAGCCATTCAAGAGAGGCAAATCAAAATGATAATGAGGTATCATCTCATGCCAGCATTAATGTCAACTTTAAAGAATGGTGAGGGTGAGAAAAGACTGGCACTCTCCAGGCATGCTGGCAGGACTATAAAATGGTACAGGTTGAGAACAAAAATGGCATACGACATAGCAGTACTACTACTTGATTATATATATTCTCACGTATATTTGTACACACACACGAGAAAGAGAGAAAGAGAGGCATGGCACAAATAGATATATACATACCCAAGTTCATCACAACACTATCCACAATGGCAAAAACATAGGAACAATCTACATGCCTAGCAAAGGAAGATTGGGTAAATAAACTTTGAAATAATACACACAACAAAATGTTAAACAACATTAATTAATACTGGTGAATCTTTGAAACATTTCGTAACATGGAGGAACCTGGAGGGCATAATGTTGGGTGAAATTCTTACTTTCACTGCCACAGAGTCTATTCCAACATCCAGAGACCCTTTACGACAGAGTTTCATTGCTTCTATGGGCTTCTTACACTGTAAATCTTTACAGAGGCTGAAAGCCTCCTCTTTCTCCCATGGAGTGGTTGGTTGACTCAAACTACTGACTTCTAGATAGCATCCAAACTAATGTTTAAGAAAAAAAAATTTTTTTTTTAAATTGGGGGGTGGTTTTTCACACCAAAAGAAACCATCTGATGGTTACCAAAGATGAGAAGGTAAGGGAGGGGGGAAGTTGCTATCTAGAGGGTAGACAAGTGTTAATTTGGGTGAAGTGGGAAAATATATATAAAACGAGAGAGGTTGGCAAAAAATGGTTAAGAGGCAGGAAAAGCCAGTGGAAGGTTTGCAAGAGATGGCAAACCTGTGGCTCAGTTTCTGCTAAATTGCAGACTAATCTACAAGAAGAACAATAACACTACTGAAGTACACACACCTTGGTATTACCAACCAGTAGGCCTGGAAGGCAGAGCTGGAGGCCAGCCAGAAGGGGCCTTCACCCAGAATCCAGAGCCTGGGCAATACCCAGAGTCTAGTGGGCATAACCATTACCCAGATGGTCCCAAAGCACAGAAGACTATTTCTGAGTCTTGAAAGTGAACATAAAGTGTTCTGCTGGGGTTTGGACTGACAGTACCGGTTAGCCCTTCTTTCGCTCCAGTTTGAAATAGAAATGTGTGCCTGATCTACCACTGTACTTGCATTCCACGTTGCACAGGTTGACATATAAAGCGGAATTTTGCCCTAGGACAGAACACGCAACTAAGCCTCACTCATATTTGATTTATATGTTCAGAAGATGAGATTCTCAACTTGGATTTAAGGATGATGTCATGGGGTGAGTGATTTCTATGTGTCAAGGGCATTAATGTTGAGGGAGTGAAAGGGAGGAATGTTATGGATTGAACTGTATCCTCCCCAAATAAATGTAGCATCCCTACCTTCTAGGCCTGTGGTTCCAATCCCTTTAGGGATTGCGCTGTGTTAACGAAAGGGTCACTGGAGGTATAGCAGGACCTACTCTCTTGAAATGTCAAAGAGCTGAGAAAAGAGGAGAGGTGGGGGAATGAAGACTGTCCAGGAGCACAAGCTCAGATGGGATGTGGGCCTTCCTCTCAGAGCACACACAGGAAGCCTTCCCCGGGAGCAGGCAGCCTGGCCTTAGGGCATAGAGTCTACTTTGTGCGGAAAATAAATGTGTGTGCTTAAGTCATCCATTTGAAGCATTTCTGTCATAGCAACAATAGAAACTAAGTATAAAGGGGGTCTTTGAGGGTGTGTGTGAAGGGTGTTCTAGTTCTTGATCTAGTTGCTACACAGATTCCTGCTCTACAATGTATTGAGTGGTACATTTCCACTGTTGGGCATGTTCTCTATATGAACAGGTTTCAGAAAGCATATAAGGAAGCATGCCTTCCATCTCATTACCTGCTCCAAACCAAACTCACTGCAATTGCGTCAACGCCAACTCACACTCGCTCTCGTTGCCATCTAACGAGGCCGACTCATGGCGACTCCACAGAGAAAGGTGGAATTGCCCCTGTGAACTTCCCTGACTGTAACACCTGTGGGCGCTTACCCCCAAATAACTACTCTGTGTTCACTAAAAATTTTTCCTCCGCCTGGTTATTTTCTGGTTTCTACATCCACATATTTATCTTACCTCCGGCAGGTTCTGCAAAACCCAGGCCAATCTCAAGGACACGTGCTGGGTGGTGAATGTGAGCACACTGCCCGCTAAAAGGCGTTTGCTGCGAGTGAAAAAATGCAGCAGTCGGCAGGAACTGTGTAGCAGCTATTAAAAAACAGACAAAGGAGGTTTTAGCAAATGGTACTTGATGTTTCCATATTCATTCTACACCCATTTATCAAATAACAGTTATTCAGTTACTGCAGTGGGCTCAATGGTGACCTCAAAAGATATGTCCATCATGAGCTTGTGAATGTGAACTGATTTGGAACAAGAGCCTGTGCAGATACAATTAACTTCAGGATCCTCTGATCGAATCATCCTGGGTGAAATCTAACCCCCCTTGTTTCAGAGTCAATTCCATCTCAGTGTGATTGTTTTCACAACAGAAACAAAATGCTCCCTGGTTATGCACCATCCTCACAATCATGCTTGGACCTGTTGTGACAACCGCTGTCCACTGGGACAATCAGTTTCCATAAAGGTCTTCTTTTCTGTGGACTCTCTTCCAAACATGACTGCTCTTCCCGGAACTGGTCCTTCCTGGTAACGTGACAGAAGCATGTAAGCCCATCTCTGTCAGCCTCACTTCTAAGCAGTCTTCTACCTGTACTTCTTCAAAGGAAGGTTTGTTTTTTTTCTGGAAGTCCACATCATATACAATGTTCTGTCAGCACCACAGCATTAATTCCTCTTCAGGATTCTGCATTTATTGTCCAGAGTTTTCATGCATGAGGTGAAAGTGTGTGGGTCAAGTGCACCACTGTTCTCAAAGTGCCATTTTTGCTTTTTAACACTTCAAATGTGAAGGTTTGCCCAATTAACAGTAAATCATTTGGTTTCTGCCTGCTGTTTCCATGGACATAGGTTATGGATTCAAATTAAGGAAATCCTTGGCAACTTCAATCTTTTCCCCATTTATTATGATGATGTTTATTGGACCAGTTTTGAGGATTTTTATTTTACCTTGAGGTATAATCAATAACTGTTCCAAGTGTTCTTCACTTTCAACAAGCACGGTTGTGTCAACAAATATTGTGGTTTGTTCTTGGGAGTCTAGATCAGCAGTTCTCAACCTGTGGGTCGCAACCCTTTGGGGGTCAAACAACCCTTTCACAGAGGTTGCCCAGTTCATAACAGTAGAAAAATTACAGTTATGAAGTAGCAACAAAAATAATCTTATGGTTGGGGGTCACCACAACATGAGGAACTGATTAAAGGGTCATGGCATGAGGAAGGTGGAGAACCACTGGTCTAGATACTCAGATGATTTGCTCAGCATGCAGACTGAGTAAGTATGATTAGAGACTACAACCCTATTGTATACCTTTCCTGATCTTCTTAGTAAAATCTTTAAAAACAGTTACTTTCCATGTGCACCTATTTCTAACTATGGAAGTTAAGGAAAACACAATCAAGGTGTTTGCGTTTTTCTTACTTCCTTGCCCTATACTAAAATTTTGCTATAGCACTTGCAGATAAATCTGTACTATTTAATAGCAGAGTAACAGTAATTCACTTCACTGCTACTTAATCACTGTCATATGTTCAAAGCTGTTGGTTAATCTCTAATTTTGAAGACTCATATTCCAAACATTTTCATGCTACCCATAATTTTCTCTAAGCTACAAATTGCCTAAGTACCAATATACATATGACGCACACAAGAATACACACAAGGGAACAACAAGTGATCCAAACTGGTGGCGAGGTGGGTGTGGGAGGCCTGGTAGGGCATGATAAAGGGTAATGTAACAAAGAGGAATTGCTGAAACCCTGGTGGGGACTGAGCATGATAGTGG